TTAGCTGCGCTGCTGGCGCTGGCGTTGGCTTAGCATACCGACGTATAATAATTGTTTAAATGCACAATTAGAGTCGAAAATTACGAGCAAATCGATTTTTTTTTATACAAACACTTACACACACACACACACACACATGCATTGCGGCGCGTACGTGCGTAAAAAAACAAGTGAAAAACGCCGACTGCGACGACAAGAGCAGCGCGCTGCTTGTGCAAGCAACGCAAACACAGCTTAAGCAAGAACACACTTATTTTATTGATTGTTACTAATAGTAATTGACAACTTACTTACACACTGAATTTCGCGGAAAATATTTCGCACTATTTTCTTCAATTTGCACTGTGTGCAGCGCGAGCACGACGCGTTTGTTTTTTTTTTTTTGGTTTTATGTTTCAGTTAGTTTAACAGTAGCATAAACTCGTAATGGCACTGTTAGGTACTCAAAATGGTCATGTTAAGTGGTAGACCCAGGGATGGCGCAGCAAGCAGCTGCTGCTAAAAATTGTTTAAATTAACTAAGTTTACTAAGGATTTGTTTGTGTTTTTCTATTGTTTAAAAAAAGACGCACTTGATATGATTTCATTAAATTTGATTGGTTTCACAGCTGTTTGTTTTAATTACTGGCGGCTTTTTGTTTGACTTGCTGCTCGCTTTGATTTTGCTTCGGGCACTTGTTTAGCTTGTTTTGTGCATTTGTTTATAAATTTTTAACGTTTGCGCTGCGGCGTTTCTATGTTTTTTATTGGTTTCTTTTATTGCTGGGCCGCCTGCGCTTTAATTAACGCTTTTTAAAGCACTTTGTTTTCATTGGTGAGAAATCGATTTTTTTTTTTGATTTTCTGCTCGCAGTATAAAAATTAAAAATTTGCTTATTTTAAATATTTGAAGCACTTTTATTAATGCACAATGGCGCCTGGTGGCACATGGTTAAACGCGTTTTCTAATGCTTGCTTAAACAAAGTTTTTTTTGGTTAGCGTTTAAGTCAATTTTAAACAAATTCCCTGCCGTAGCAGACACGAGGAAGCGCACGCTGTCAACTGAACTAAATTCCTTCATAAAGGATATTGGCCATTTGGCGCTACCCCCATATAAGAAAATAAAAAAAAACATCCATGAGGGTGAATGTGCGCCCGCCTCTGACATGGACATGCGCAGTGCGCGGGAACGATTCAAAAAAGCGCGCCCAACTGGAGTCTAATAGGAAAAGATTTGCGTGGCGCTGGACTCCGCCTGATCCACCGGCAGGATGCTCGCGCTGCCATCGCTGGCCAGGACCAGCTGCTGCTGCGGTGACGGCTGCACCTCGGGCTTCATTAGGTGATTGTAAATGTTTTCTATGGTGGGTATGCCAGTTGCTGGACTCGCGAAGGGCAGCTCAGCTGCTTTCGCTATTGGCGCCTTGGGCTTCTTGCCAAAGGCGAAGCAGCCGCTCTGCTTGGTGGCCACCGGCGACAGGTTGTCCTTGTTCTTCGTGCTGCAAGCGAGCATAAATATATATAAATAAGATTCCTCTCGACCCAATCCCTAAGCTGTACCCACAATGCTTTGAGCGCCTCCAGTTTGGGTATGTTGCGATTGTAGCTCTTGCCGCCGCCTGCCGCCTCCTGTGCGGCCAGCTCCTCGGGATGTGACTTCTTTTTGTGCGTGCGACAATTGGAGCCGTTGGCAAAGGTGCGATCACAGAAATCGCACGAGTAGGGCTTCAGCCCTGTGTGCAGAATGAGATGATTTTTGAGAGCCTTGGCACGCTTGAACTCCCTGCCGCAATAGTCGCACTTGTGCTGCATCTGATCCGTGTGAACCAGGCGATGGCGGTTGAGCGTGGGTCGCGAATTCAGCTGCATGCCGCACTCTGGGCAGATGTACTTGTGTGGATCATGCGTCTCCTTGTGATGCTTCAGCCGGCTTACGCTCTTGAAGCACTTCTTGCACACGTCGCACTCGTAGGGCGCGTAATCCGTGTGGCTAAGCAGATGCTCCTTGAGCGCGTGCAGCGAATGCACCGCCACGCCGCATTGCTCACAGATGACGGGACGGGGTCGCTCCGCCTGATGCATATACTGTGCATGCGATTGGGCGGAGGCGTTTGTCGTGAACTTCTTGCCACAGCTGCCGCACGGATAACGCTTCCGTTTGGGCAAGGGCAGATGCTGTTGCATGTGCCGCTGCAGCTGGTAGCGGGAACGGAACTGCTTGTCGCACTGCTCACAGACTTGCTTGCTGGAGTCCGCTTCGCTCTTGTCATGGTCCTGGCGCATGTGCCGCTGCAGCGTTTGCGGCAGTGCGTAGATGCGGGGGCATTCGCTGCATTGATAGGATTTGCCTTGCCTGCTTTTGTGCGGTTTCGGTTGGACAAGCTTGGCGCTATCCAAAGAGTTGGTCTCGTCGGGGCTGAATGCATCGCATAGATTTAGCAGCAGCTCGTAGCCAGACTGCTCCTGCTCCTGTTCCTCTTTATCCACCTCCTCCTCCTCCTGTTCGTCTTCATCCTCTAGCTGCTCTTCTGCTTCTACTTGCACCAGCTGGTCATCTGTTTTCGTCTCCACACTGTGTGCGCACGGCGTGAGCGGATTTTCCAACTCCAACGTCGTCTCCTCTAGCTCAGTCAGCTTCGGCTTCTCCTCCACATAATGAACTTCGGTTAGCGTCTCCGGCTCTGGCTCCGGCTCCGACTGCTGCTGCTGCTCCTCTAGCAGCCCAAATCTGGCGCGCAGCTCCAGCATATTGACTGAATCCTTAGGCGTGCTCTGCAATATGCAGAAGAGCTTCTGCACGCGTGTTATGCGCTCCGAAAAATTGACCAGCGATGTCACCAAACTCAGGCACTCGCTGCATATCATCTCCGGCAGCTCCTCACCGCGTGTTATCTACAAATATTGCCTATCTGTATAGAAATTCTATCTAATCCTCAGCCACTCACATTCACCCAGAAGTATTTGCCAATGGCTGTGGCGAGCGCCATGTCGCTGACTGCAGCAGCACCAGCTGCTGCTCCACTTTCATCTCCCATTCGCTCGCTCGCAGCTCCAGTCTGTTCGCTTTTCAAGAACACATTTATATTTCCCTGGAGATCGTCCTTGGCGCACAGGCGACACCACAGCAGCCAATCGCTGGGTACACTTTGCTGCTCGTCTGTGCCTTGTTTAGGTTCTTCTAGCGCAGCCATTTGTATTATTTAGCTTTCTAAATATTTCATAACAACAATCCACATTTTTAAATAAATTATATTCTATTTACTAATTGGAAAACGCTAACAAAAACTGTTTTTGTGATTATTATTTTAACAGCTGTTGGTTTGCTGCAACAACAACAACAGGGTGCTGTTATCGTTAGGCACAAGCACTGCAAGTGGCGGTGAGCGATAGTCACTTTAATATGACACGAATAATAAAACAATAATAATCGACGGGTAGATAAGACAATATCCTCGGCATATTATTACGCTTCGATTTTTATATGATTAATTAAACCTCCTTTTTATTCAACCAGCTTAAGTAAGCATACCAATCACTTTAACATACTGTTAACATAACAGATGAAGGCGGCCGATGGTCCTTTTCGATATAATTTACATTGCATTTACATTTGTTTATCGCTGCGTTGTTTATATATCAGTAGACACTTGTTTTGTTTTTACACACCTAAAATCATTTCTAATTGCAATAAAGGCTACTCGTAAAGGTGTTGAAACAACAGAATTTCCATTTTAGATATGCGCAACTTAAAACAATATACAACGTTAACTTTGATAATCCCTTTACAGTGTATTTTATGGCAGGCATAATTTTATGTGACATTTTGGATTTGATTACAATTGTGAAATTATTAAGGGAAACTTGCAATCATGTTTGAGGCACGCCTGAGCAGCACAGCGCTGCTTAAGAAGATTGTGGATGCGCTCAAAGAGATATTACACCAGAGCACACTGGACTGCAGTGATTCTGGCATACAGGCAAGCTCCCATCTGTCATTCCCAAGGAAAACCCATAACAAATTTCACTCCAGTTGCAGGCCATGGACAATTCGCATGTCTCGCTAGTATCCATGAGCTTGCGTAGCGACTGCTTTGAGAAATATCGCTGCGATCGCAATTTGTCGCTGGGCCTGGATCTCAGATCGCTGACCAAGGTGCTCAAGTGCGCCAGCGGCGACGATGCCGTCACTATCAAAAGCGCGGACAAGGCGGACAAACTGCAGCTGAGCTTTGAGTCGGCCAGCATGGATCGTACCGCCGACTATGAGCTGCGTCTGCTCAATCTGGATCAGGAACATTTGGCCATACCCGAGACAGACTACGCCTGCGTCGTTCACATGCCAGCCGCGGAATTTGCACGCATCTGTCGCGACCTGTCCACGTTCAGCGAGTCCGTGGTAATTGCCTGCACCAAGGATGGCATTAAGTTCTCTGCCAACGGCGAGATGGGTTCGGTCAACATAAAACTGAGCGAAACGAGCAAAGGAGATGTTAGCCTGCAGGTGGACGAGCCAGTCACACTCTCCTTCGCCGGCCGCTACCTGACCACTTTCACACGTGCCACGCCTCTGTCGGAGAAGGTGAAGATTAGCATGGCGCCAGAAGTGCCGCTGCTGGTGGAGTATCCCATCGAGGATTATGGCTATATACGCTACTATCTGGCGCCCAAAGTGGACGAACCTGATGGCTGAGTGCAATTTTTAACTTATTGTGCAATATTTGTTTTATTAACGTTTATATTAATAAGTTGTTTACTTTTGACCGAATAACTTTATTTATAACTTTTCTAGCTATTAAATAATAAATTCGTGCAAATCCCAAGCAAATGTTATTTCTAGACAAACGCCCATTACTTATTAAATTTGTTTGTGGATCTACAATTTATAAATTGTTAATAACCATTTTGTTTGAATATAAACATAAATTTAAATTTAATATTGTTAATATTTCGTGACTGCTTTTTGCTCATCTCTAGTTATTATCGTTATGAGATTATCGTATAAATTGTGGTGGCTGCCGATTAATCGACCATTAACAGCTGTTTCATGAATTTCGGCCCGCAGACAGTACAAAATTTTAATAAATTTATTAGGTAATATAGCTGAATTAAACAATGCTCAAATATTTAACAAGACCGCTGCTGACAGCGACGCGCAGTGCTACGCGTTCGCTTTGCAGCAATCTAAGCGGTAGCAGCACAAAAAAAACAACATCAACGACCACCCCAACTGGCGGCCCATTGATTGAGGTCAACAAGGCGATCAATGGCTGGGGGGACAAGCTGAAGGCCGCGGGCATCCAAGACACTGACTTCAATATCAAGTGCATTGTGTCGCATGTGCTGAACCGGAAATTTGTGAGTAATATCCTGTATAAAATGGAACTGTCTCTAAATGAAAACCTAACCAAATAGAACACCGTGCCGGATGACTTTACTCAGCTGAAATTCAACTCCGAGCAGCTGGCGAACTTTGAGCGCTTCCTGGAGGCACGCTGCGCCCGCATGCCGCTGCAGCACATCATCGGCGAATGGGATTTCATGGATATTACGCTTAAGACGGCGCCTACTGTGTTCATACCACGCCCCGAAACCGAGGAGTTTGTGCGTCTGGTCATCGAGAACTACAAGCAAGCCAAGCACGTGAACATGCTGGAGGTGGGCTGCGGCTCCGGCGCTATGTCGCTGTCCGTGCTGCACGCCTTACCCCAGGTGGACGCAACGGCCATCGAACGCAGCAAAGTGGCCACAGTGCTAGCCTCGGAAAATGCGAATCTGCTGGGTTTGCAGGATCGTTTCAAGGTGCACAACCATACCATGGAGGAGGACAACTATATGCCGACCGAGCTGCAGGATAAGCAATACGATCTGATCATATCAAATCCTCCCTACGTGAAGACCGAAGAGTTTCAGTTTCTTCATCCCGAGGTGGTCGTGTAAGTCTTATATCTATATATATTTCTGTGCCTGATAAATCAACTGATTGACTGGTAGACAATCAACGCGCTTTTAAACTAAAGATCATTCCCCTTGCAAAGGTGGAAAATTGGTGAAAAGCATTTGAGTGAAATTTTTTGTTTTCAACCCATCTGCTTCAAAAACTATCCGTTTAACATAATCAAAAATACACTTGACCATGGTGGAAAATGGAAAAGCTGGAAGTTGCATAGACAAGATTTTAAAGCTTTTTAAAAATTACTGATATCAAAACCAAACCCAAGATTTTAAAATTAAGGAAAAATTATTCATATTAATTTTTTTCTTTATGCGATTGTCTCAAAATTTTAAAATGTATTTTAAGACAGGGTTTCTGAAAATTTTTGGGTTTAAATGAGAGCCTCAATAAACCTTAAAGAAACTAAAGCTTGGCTCATTCAAAGACCGTTTAATGTCTGCTATTATACATTTATTCGGATCTGATATTTCATACATGTTTTCTCGCCCGCAGATATGAGAACCTGAATGCACTCGATGGCGGCTCGGATGGTTTGCGTGTGGCGCGTTTGGTCTTTGACCTGGCTTGTCGACATCTGCGACCCGGCGGCAAATTGTGGCTGGAATTGGGCAACGAGCATCCGCCGCTGGTCAAAACCATTATGAACCTGAAGTACCAGGGACGCCTCAATTTTGTGGACAGCTATTTTGATCAGTATAAACGCGAACGATTTGTGCAATTGGAGAAGGTCTAGGCGTCGACTTGGAGTTCAATTTAAACTAGCTCATTTGGACATGATTAATGCAATTAGAATTAGTTTAGTCGCAAATGCATCTATCTGTGATTTGACCTACATACAAGCTGCCTGAGAAGCTGAGATATATATATATATGGATAAACATATGTATATATATATATATATTATTTATGGATTGCATTAAGTATTTCGCTTCTGGCGCATGCAAACAAAGACGCATTTCAGACTACGAAAACAATAGGCATTTCGAATTAATGCACTTAATTTTATTGGTTTACATTATTCATGTTGTTCATAAGCTACAAAATAAATCCGTAATAGACACTACAACAACAACTATTTAATCTAGGTCCTGGCTGCACAGTGTGTTGCGAGCAGTTGAAATGAAGAGCTTAAGTTCGCAATCATATGTTAGATAGGTCTCTTGTATTTTTAACTAACCTTCATATTTATTTGCATTTTATTTACCTTAGAATTTAACCACGTACAAACACAGTTCTCGCTTGAAAATACTTTCAGGGAATCGGGATGTAATTTCAATCAAACATGACTTTTTGATTTTTTTTTAACAACTTTTGCGTATTAAATTTTAACTTGTCTACAATCGAAATCGTTAAATAGGATTATATTTACTATTTGGCGAAAAAGGAATTTTTCGCATATTAATATCAATTGGAACTGAAGCTATTTTATGAGAGAACACTACTATTAAAAACTGATTAGTGAAAGCAGCACCATATTCATATATTGGGGCTTACTTAAATCCAAATGGGTGCTTTATAAATTTAAGTAATTATTCCGAATAGAAAATGCCTTATTAATGTAAATTTTAGCAACGATCAGGGAAAATGCTGCATACCACAAATTGCCAAATTCCGATTTCTCAGGAAAATCAATTTAAAATAAAGTTATAAGAAATTAAAATAAATTCAATGCAAATGCAAAAATTATGTGAAATTAAATTCAAAGAAAATTTATAAAAATAATAATAAATAAATAATTGATCATTCAATAAAAGGAAAATTGGTTTTACTCACATATTAAATTAAATTCCCTGTTGCGACTTGTGTGCATCTTGTACCACTGTGCAACAGCGCACAGCAGCTTTTACGCTGCTTGGGCTTTGGCGATTTTACCGTTATCAATCGGAGCAGCTGGTGGTCAGCTCTAAAATATTAGACAGTCATTAACAAGCGGGCCCAGTGTCATATTTGGCAGAAGAGAGGGCGTGGGTATGGGGGCTGACTAAATACTCTTTTTTTTTGTGATTTTTTTTATGGAGCGGGCAGTGGGACGCGCGCACATGTTGAGCGTGCTGCAGTAGCCTGGGCACACTTGTCGCTCATTAATAAAAGTTTGCCAAGCAGCGAGCGCCATTATTTTTGCAGGTATAGAGACATTGACCAGCAGCAGCAGCAGCAGTGGCAGCATCCCACGCTGCTGGCGTCGCTGCCGGCGCTGCTCTGCTCAACTGTAAACATTCCAGTGAGCGAAGCTTTCACTCAAACATTGAGCCACAGCATACACAAGAGATGAGTTTCGCTCTCAGTTCGTCTCTCTCAGTTGGTTGGAAGCTTCGCAGCTTTGCTCCTTGGTTATTCCTGCTGCGCTCAGCTCCGGTCCATGGTCGTGTGAAAAGCTGCGTTGAGCGCATTAAGTCGTTAGGGTACAACCAGACAGGACGCACTTTTCTCGCACAGCTGCCGCGTTTGATTTTGGCGTTCGTCTAACGTCTCAACAGCGCCCAACAGTTTGTGCAAAAATCAAGAAGAGAGAAAAAACAACATAAATTAAATCAAATAAAATATTAAATTGAATAAAAAAAATTTTTTAAATAAAAACCATCTCGCATATAGACACGATTTCTATGTGCATGAAACAGCAGCAACGACAACAACAAAAAGAAGAAAAGTGTAAAGTTTTTGAAAAAAACGTGTGTGTGCCCCGCGCGCTCCGCTCGACAGCTGCCCTCGCACAACAACAACAAAAACAACAATAAACTTTTCTTTTGCCTTTTTGGCATCGCCCGCGCGCGTTTCTTTGTGCGTGTGTGCCTGTGTGTGTGTGTGTGTGTGCGTGTGTATGCGTCTGCGAGCGTGCCTGTGCGTGTGTGTGCGTGCCAGTGTGTGTGGCAAAACTTCATCTCAAGTGTGTTCACAACAACAAAATAGTATGCAACCAATATAAATTTAAACAATTTGCAACAAACCAATTAAAAGGCATATTTAACAAATTCCAAGGTAAACAACAACTGCAAATTACTGTTAACACTTTTTAACTACCACCGCTCCCCCTTCCAACCCTCGCCAGTAGCTCTGAAAATGTGCTTCCGTTTGGGGCCTTTGCGGTTTCGCTTTGGTGCAACAGCTTAAAAGTATGCTACGATTTTTATTCCCACACAACACATACATAATTGTTGCGCTTTACGGTAGTCGCAGGACATGTGAAGCAAGCAGCAAATTGTGTTTTGAAAACTAACATAGTTTCTTATTCATGTGAACAAATTAAAAATTAATTTATTTGTATTATTCACGATGAACGCATAATTCAAGAATCAATTAAAATATTTGATTTAAATAAGGAAAAGAAACACAACTTTTTCTATTATATATTTATATTATTTAAAGGCGTTTTAAATGTAAAATTTAGCTGTCTTACAGCCAAAATATTTTTTTAAAATTTATTTATGTTGTATGATTGCATTTATGCATTTATAATTTTGTTGTTCTTTATATAATTTGTCAATAAAAGTCGAATTCATAAGCTAACAAAATAATTTAATTGGTTTTGCGCCTTTGAAAATTGTATAATATATTTTAATAAAATGAAGATGTTTTAGAGCAAAAATTTAAACATTTTTGAATATTTAGTTACATTTAAAAAATGGAAAAGTTGTCAAAATAATAACAATTTAATTATTTAAATCAAATTAATTTGGAGCCTTTGTAAATTTTGGTTTCCGATCAAGTATCTTTGATTTTTGTTGTGGTTTTGGAGACTTGTGGTTTTTGTTTTAAAAATAAACTAAACTAGCACAAAAGCGCAAATTTTGTGACAAAATTATTTTATTATTTTTAAATATAAATAATGCATAAATATATTTGAATATAAATACAAATATATTTAAATATTACAAACGGAGCTAGGAGAATAATTTATTAGCTAAAAAAATTTCACTTATTATTAATTATATATGAGGCCTAAAACCGGGTTAATCCTTCCAATCAGATTGAATCGAATAAAATGATCAATTAATAAATTAATAGACAAATTAAAGATTTTTAAAATAAACCTCCCTTCCAGCTTTCTATTGAATTGTAAATTTAAGGTGGAATTTAAATAAATAATAAATTTAATAACTCATGTTTAAATTATTATTTAGTTAGTTGTATTGTGAAAAATGTTCAAGTCTTGGATTTAATTAAAGCAAGATCTGCAACAAACTACTTAACTTTTTCCGACAGTTAAGCTTTATATTTGGTTTAATTTTTGTGCATTTTCACAACGGGAATAACATTCAAGCAACATATATTTTTTTATCTCCAGTTTAAATAGTTTGAAATTGTTTGCCGTGTTGTCTCATATGTCAATTATTTGTCTCATAACTGTTGCGCCTGTCAGTTGGCACACTTGTAACTGACTCTAACAAACTGGCCAAGTGCCCAAAAAAAAAAAAAAAGGAATGCATGCCATTTGCTGCTGCGGGCTGCTGTTCACACGTCGTATGCGCAATGTATTATATTTGGGCGAGCTGCCAAAGCAATTGCAGCTCATTTTAATAAATTTGATCATAATTTATTGATAGATATATATATATATATATACATATATATGTATATGCACTTGAAATATAAATTAAATCGGTTTGTGCACAAATAAATAATGCGATGCGCATTCCCTTTGGGCAAATTGCTGTTTTTTGGTTCAGCTTTCGGCTGCAGCTGCGATAATTAAAATTTAATTATACACAACTTTAAATTGCAATTTCATTGTGTCGAGATTTCAATGTTCGCACATAAATTGCACTTTTGTGGATTTTGCTCGGGGGCCACAACATTTTTGAAGGGTCCGAAATGCTTCTGGCTCTGGCTGGGCGCAGTTGGGGTTGGGGCGTGCTGGTGGCTTTGACTGGAAGTTGCTCGGTTGCGGGTCCACATGCAATTAACTTTTGCACTGCTATCAATCAGTTTGAGGCACATGTGAAAAACTTTTTATACTGACCGCCGCTGCCCCCCTACCCGAATATAGCCATAGAACTGCCACCTTATCATTCAATTTGGCCAAAAATGGCAAAGAAAACTTTTGTGCCAACTAACAACTGGTCAAGGCGTGGCCAACTGGGCGTCATGTGTGAGTGTGTGTTTTTTTCTTTGATTGGCAAGTTATGTACACACACTCACACACACACACACACACACATATTTTCCATCAATCATTTTGCCAGACTTAAGGCTAGTTCACGGTTTTAAAGAGCGCCCTGGCGGCTGTTTGAAATCAACTCAGAAATTGTTGATGCTGTCATCTAATTGGATTTATAAAAACTATTCTGAACTTTCTCGAACTGCATAAACTTTTGTGAAATTTAATCAATCGACTCATATAGCTGCCAAAGACATTTTTGTGAAGTTAAATTAAAATTTATTAATGGCTAAAAGACAAATAATTGAGTTTTTGCTCTGCTTAAAAGTGATGCCAAGAATTTTGCATAAAAAGCAACTCTTCTTTATGATATATACAAACATTATCAAAAAAAAACTTTCGTTGGAATTCTACCGATTCGTAATATTTTTTAATACACTAAAATTTCTGGCATCCCATTTTAGCACACTACGAAAAGAACACTGCATATATTTGAGTAGAAAAATTTAAACGAAATATATTTTAAAAACCTTTTAAAATATATTTGCAACCAGCTATCAAATCGAGCTGCCAATTCATGTGTTTTTCATGTACATAATCAAGAGCTTCCACTTGTCAAGGACTTAATTTTTTTCTTCACACCTACACATTAACTTCCAATAAAAATTAAAAAATTCAATAAATCTTTCAAAACAGCTTCAAGCTGAAATTCTCAAAATGCTTAAATTCGACGCACACGTCGAACCAAGTTTCAAGTGTTTTCACGGACAAAACTTCTTCTGAAAACGTTTTTTTTTTGTTTATTTCGTTTTTTCACATTAACAATTTCTAAGAAACGCCCCAAGATTTTTCTTATTTAACTGGGTACTTTTGGTGGCTGGGAAAAGGCACTAAATGTCGTTGCTTGGTTTTCTTTTCGACTCAAATCTCGGAATTTTAATCAATGCGTGAAAACTCGTAAAATTTTCATACACTTAAACAAATTGTAGTTTTGTAAGATAATGTTATAGCTATGGTTTTAACTAAACCATCGTACATGTAAGTAAATATAATAAATTAGATACTCTTGAAGAGGAAATATTTTGTAAATTTATGCCAGATCTATTTCTATCTTGCAACAACAATAATTTTATAGAAAAATTCCTGATTTGTGGTAAATGTTTAGAAAAGAACGCCTTTTGACTATGCTGAGTATCTTGTGCAGTTACCCTAATAAAGGCAGAACTTTTTAGGAAAATCCATTGCAATAGCATACGGATAGGATTGGATCGTTGGCAGCCCTATCTATATGTTGCTTTTATAAGTAGGTATCAATAACAAGATGATTGTAATATCGATAAAGAGGCTGCCGATGCGGAGTGTGAGGTCAGTCTGTAGATGGAGCGAAAAGGAAGAAGACGTTCATTTAAAGACTTTAATAAAGCAAAATAAATAAAGAAATGAATAATACTACTGACCAGCACGAGTCGCGCAGTACACAGGGGAATTCAGTATACGACTATATGCTAAGACTATCTACTTGCTAAATTGTTTAGAATAGACGAGTTTATAAGAGGACGAGAAGACTGCAAGCAGAGTTCTCTATAATGCTTGTTTTAATCATAACAGAGGACCCTGGACGGTTCATGCAAGTCAAACAAAATTAAAGCGATAAAGGTGTATAATTAAGGCATACAAATATTGATTTTTTTAAGAGAAAGCCTTTAAAAAAAGTTGTAATTAAATAAAAAATTGCTGTCTACAATGTTGTATTAAAGTGGAGTGTTTCTCTGTATCCCCGTTTCTCTTATTGATGGGAACACCTAAAATTATCTTGTTTTGTCAAACTGATTGCTTTCAATAGATTGCAGCTGTGTGCAGCTGTTTTCCATTAGGATTCCATTTTATCCAACTATCAGCTAACATCTCTTCCATCTTAAGCTACAATCTGCTGCTGCCGCTGTTGCTTCTTCTTCTTCAACTACTCCTTGTCACTGTCATCTATCAGTGTCCAGTGTTTAGTTTAGCCAGCGGCGATTCACCTGCTGCCTAGCAAATAGTCCACACACACACACTCATGCATAGACTTACGAGCCGTGTCTGTGGACCTGCCCCAGTTGTCATTCTGCTTAACCTATCTTCATTAAAATCAGCCCGGTCCGAAGTTATTACCATGCATAGCTCACTGTGTGTGTGTGTTTTTGGTTTTTTTTTTTGGGTTGTTGTCATTTTATTGTTGTTGTTGTGCCGTCGCGTTCTGCCTGCCTGATAAGCGACAGTGTAGACATCATAAATATATATACATACATACACACATATGTATATGTTAGTGAGTGTGTGTGTGTGTGTGTATCTAACGCACCTAAATGCTAAAACACAAATTGAAAG